ACAAAGAGCATCTTGACTATCCTTTGTCTTTTGCATTTTAAAATTAACTTGTGACATTACACACACACACACACACACACACAAACACACACACATAATGTACAAACAGATAATAAGAAACAAAGACAAAAAACAGCATATTTATTGGGATGGCATTGAACTTATTTTTTTTTTTTTTTTTTTTGAGACGGAGTCTCGCTCTTGTTACCCAGGCTGGAGTGCAATGGCGCGATCTCGGCTCACCGCAACCTCCGTCTCCTGGGTTCAGGCAATTCTCCTGCCTCAGCCTCCTGAGTAGCTGGGATTACAGGCACGCGCCACCATGCCCAGCTAATTTTTTGTATTTTTAGTAGAGACGGGGTTTCACCGTGTTGACCAGGATGGTCTCGATCTCTTGACCTCGTGATCCACCCGCCTCGGCCTCCCAAAGTGCTGGGATTACAGGCTTGAGCCACCGCGCCCGGCCTGGCATTGAACTTATAAATCAATAAGAGAGAAAGAGATATCTTTACAATATTGGATCTTTTTAATGCACGAACATGGTATATCTCGTCATTCATATCAGCCTTAGAAAATATTACTTAATAATGTTTCATAATTTTCCCCATAGAAATATTGCACATCTCTTATTAGAAACAAGAAAAAAATGATACTGATATATAGAAAAACTGTATATTATATGTATCAGCCTTGCAAAACTGTCGTGTTAACTCATATTGTGTGCCAATAACGACAGTTGCTTGTTTCTTTTTCAGTCCTAATAACTTTATTTCCTTATCTTTCTTTTCTGCATTGGCCAGGATTTCTAGAAAAATACTAAATAGCAAGGGCAATAGCAAATATCCTTGTCTTGCTCTAGAACACAGAAGGAAAACCTTTAATATTTTACTATTATAATTTATGTTTGCTATAGATATTTTATATCACATAAGGAAGTTCCTCCCTGCTTTTAGTTTTCTAAAAAATTTTAAAGACCAGAAATAGATATTCAATTTTATTAAGCACTTTCCCTGGATTTATATTTACACATAAAAAGTTATACATATTTCTTACTAGCTGTTTCACATCTGCACATCTGTTGTGGTGGCTCCTTTTTCAATGCTGATATTGGTAATGTGCCTATTTCTCTTGTATTCTAGCTGTCTCATCAGAGGTTTGAAGTGTTTATTAACCTTTTCTAACAATCAGTTTTTGGCTTTTGTAGTCCTTTTTGTTATATGACTATTTTCCACCTTGTTAATTTGTTCTTACTTTAATTAATTTCTTCCTTCTACTACACTGAGTTTATTTTGTTGTTTTATAACTTCTTGAGAGGAATTCTTAGCCTATTAATTTTTGCCCTTTGTTTTTATAATATATTCATTTAGGTTGTAAATTTCCCAGTAAATACTTCATATAGGCATTCTACAATTGTTATATGGAGGATATTTATTATTGTTTAGTCTAAAATTTTTCTAATTTCCATTGTAATTTATTTTTAATTGTGCAACTATATTCCTAGCTCTGTTTTTCTTTGCAGCTGAATTTCATTGTGATACAATTTAAATCTTTGTAAATGGTTGAGGCTTAATTTAATAAGACATTCATTGACTTAGAATATGGTCAATGTTTATAATTGTCTCATGTGCTTGAAAATAATGTATATTTTACAGTTATATGCAAGATTCTACATATATCCATAAGGTCATGTATCTTAATCTTGCCATTCAACTAAATCCTCACTGGTTTTTCTATTTTACTGTATCAATTACTAAGACAAGTGCATTAATATCACTGCTATTATACATTTGTTTATTTCTCTTATTGCTCTATCAATTATTCCCTAATACACTTCAAGATTATATTATTGGGGCATTTAGATTTAAAATTACTCTGTCTTCCTACTGAATTGAAACCTCAATCATTTATAAAGTGACTCTATCTCTAGTAATGATTTGGGCTTTAAAGTCTATTTTGCTTAATGAACTTTAAACACTCTCACACCAGTGTCCACATAGTAAGTATTTGCACGGTATAGCGTTTTCCATTATTATTTATCTTTGACACATGAGAAGTCTGAGCAATAGCAGTTAAGGAACAAACTCAACAGTAAACAGGTATAAGTGATACAGTCAGGAGACAGACCCAAACAGTCTGTCTCCAAGGTCTACACTCCTAAAACATCATGCTTCTCTTATAGGTTCAAAGAATAAAGTCAGTTTAGGTTTTGAAAGAAAAAAATGCTCTCACAGTCACTTCCACAAATACTTTTTCACCACTGAATTGTGATTTTTCACACATCTTAAATTCTCACTCTAATATTCTAAGGTAACATAATATTTTGCAAAAATCTTAATACAAAAATCTGCAGTACTCAACCTCTTCCTCTTATACATCAATTTTGCTTTGTGCCTTTGAAATGGGCATGCATACCAGAAGCCTTCATGTTTTCGTCCAATACCACTGAAATGCAGCACGGCTCCTTGAACTGCCCTAAACCAAATGAGGGAGCCAGGCTGCAATATGATCAAGATGTCTAAGTGGCTATATGGCTCTACTGAGTAGGAATGCTCATTTCAATCTGACTAAGGGAAAAATAACCACAAGAATGGTACTGCGCTGTTTCAACTCTCCTTGAACAGACATATATATAGGAGCTTAACAAACAGAGTCACTTAACAACTTCTGTATATCTTCTGAAAATCCACACATTTCTTAAATTTTAATATACTATTAAAAAAACTTGTAAACTATGAAGAAAATTAAAACTTCTCATAAGTCCATTATCCAGAGTTAATTATGCGTGATCTATTTATTATTTTTTCTGTTAGTTTTCCTGTGTTTGTAATATATATGCACATGTGGAGACATATATGTATGTGTGTACATATGTATCCACAAATTGGAAACACATTTTATCATTAGTGTAGACTCTGATTTTTAAATTTAACATTGCATTATGCACAATTTTATCTTTTAAAATTCTTTAAAAAATAATTTTAAATATCAAATATAAATTTTAATTACAAAATATCAAATGAAATACTCATTTCATTCTGGTTGCAGAATATCCATCATAGAAACGTATTCAAATTTATCTAGCCATTGCTCTACTGCTGAACAGTTAAATCAATCTCAAATTCTTCTACTTATAAATATAGGAAAATTAACAAGAGAAATATAAAATGTTATCTTCTTTAAACTGTTATCTTGGATCATTTGCAGCTAAGTATCTTCCAATCTAATAGCATAAGAATGTTGCATAGAATGCTTGAAAATATTTAAGGCTCTTAACAGAGGTGGTCAAACTCCTTCCTGAAAGTTGAACAAATATAAGCTTTTCCCAGAATTATTGAAAATGTCCATCTCTTTACATTCTTGCTATAATAGTATTGTTCTGAACCACTTTCCCTAAGTTAGATAAATGAGGCATAACTTCGCATTTCTTTTATTAGCTTTTTTTTTTTTAACAGTTACATTCCTTATTAACTGCTTGCTCTCACATCTCACTATCTTTGTTTTTTTCTTTTTGAGACAGAGTTCTTTGCTCTTGTTGTCCAGGCTGCAGTGCAATAGCATAATCTCAGCTCACCACAACCTACGTCTCCTGGGTTCAAGTAATTATCTTGCCTCAGCCTCCTGAGTAGTTGGGATTACAGGAATGCCCCACCACACCCTGCTAATTTTTCATTTTCAATAGAGACAGGGTTTCTCCCTGTTAGTCAGGCAGGTCTCAAACTCCCAACCTCAGGTGATCTGCCTGCCTGAGCCTCCGTTAAGTACTGGGATTACAGGCGTGAGCCACCACACCTGGCCTTTATTATCTTTTAAATTAAGATATTAGTGTCTTTCTTATAACTGCTCTTAACATTTGATGTTTGCCATATTTACTAGAAGTAGTTTCAGTTTGTCACTTGCCTTTTAGTTGTATTTATATTGATATTTTTGCCTGTAAACCTATAAAATCTTTGTTTGCAATAACTTGGTTGTGACTTATTCTACTTCTGTTAGCATAAAAATCCATTACTCACTATGTTTTCTTCTATATTATATTGTTTCATTTGCCTGCGAATATACGAAGCCTGATTTATAAGTATTTTAAGAATATTATTTGAGATTTTAACAATTTTGTTTTTAAAAGAGGTAACCACTACCATTAATTCTAAGGGGTTTTCACACCTATACTTGCATCTTGAAATGGTGGAAACGTAAGTCATAACACTATAAGGGTAGATTTCTGAATAAATGAGCATTAAGTTGTTAGGCAGGACAACCACTATTTTATTACTCTTTTTAGATATAAACCAAAGGAGATTTCCCTTTCGATCTTACTGGTCACAAACGTCTCCTGAACAACAGAATTTATTCCCTTCAATCTTTTCTGTGGTTACCCACATGATGATTAATCAATAAATTAGAAAAGGATTTTCAACTCTAGATCTGTAGTCAAACTTTCAGTGCCAATTCTCAAGAGTATAACATTTTGGAAAAGATAAACAGGTATTTCATGCACACACAGATAGGAGCTTATGGAATTTTTCTGCCAGTAAATCAGAAAATATTTGTTTGGTCTCAGAAATATTACATTTTTATATGTATTAACAGCATCATACCCTGGAATACTTAATAGCCTATAGAAATTTTTCTAAAATACATGACCTAACTATTGTAATCCCAAATATTTAACAACAAAAAGTAGCAAATGTTTCAAAAAACATTTTTCAGTGGAGAAAAAGCTTTCACAACTTCAGAAAAAGTGTATCTCATTAAGAAAATGAAAAGAAATGTTCCTATCATCTGCCAGTTTAGAGACATTACCATCATAATGAGTCTCAAAATTATAATTAAAAAGCCAGTTGCCATCTGAATATAAAAGACTATGTACTATACTTTTATATGCATGTTTCATATATTTTTACTTATAAATTAAAAATATGAGAAAGCATATAAACTTCCATTTTTGTTAAATAGCATAGCTGTCAATTTTTCAAAAGTGTATATTATGTGTTTTATGAATATACCTTTTTCCTACCCAGTGCAGTGCCAGAATTCTCTCTTCAGCTTTCAGAATCTTGTCAACAGATTCAAACAGGAATCATGTCATCAGCAAGATGAAAGCTGTAAAAATAAAAGTAGCCCATTAACAGTGCATTGTTTTATTTAGTAAATATCAACATGTGACTCTTGAAAGTAGAAGATGTGTAAAGTTTTCAAAAGAAATTTAGATTTATGTAAATTGACAAACTATTAAATATACATGTAAATGTACATACATAAATGTAATAAAATTATGGTTTATGGAAGAAGGGGCATTATCTTGGCATTATAAAGTCATCACAATTAAACTAAAAATTATCCTGCAGATGCTTTAGGACAGGCTACACTAAGGTAGATTCTTGTTGCTTGAAATGATTCATGAGACATTTTCAGGTGTCCTCTTAGGTATCTTCGTTGAGCACATTTAAATATAACAGCAATGGGCCCCACAGTTGTTAAATGTTCAGCTATTTTTCATTTCATTCCATCCCTGCTATGCATTTCTCTGATTGCCCTCAACTTCAGAAAGTGCTCTTGCCACTATCATGAGTAAACAAAATTCTGGCTTTGTTATCAATTTCCCTAGGCTGGAAAAAAATTGGCACAGACAATCTCTTGAGATTCCCAAGAATCGGACTTATGAAAGCAAGGAACCTGTGCATGGTAGGAGCCACAGCCTTGGTTCTCACTCAAGACCTCCACTATCAGTCCAATTCAATGAAAATGGAAAATGTCTTAGTGTTCATTTTTACAGTGTCACTGATTGTTCAGTTCTGATCACAAAGTTTACAGTATTTGAACAGTTTTATTACCATACTGTATCTTCCTGGAGCATACCTGGTATAGAAGCATTTTAAACCATTCCAAAATCAGAACTTTTGTTAACAAGCACAGAAATTCAAATGCCACAATGCTGACAAAAAGAAGAACCCACATTACTTTATTAGTTTATTACTTCATTGAAGAATATTCCACAATGAGAATTATCATTAAAAACTTTGAACATCAGGCTGGGTGTGATGACTCACTCTTGTAATCTCAGCACTTTGGGAGGCTGGGGCAAAAGTAGTACGTGAGCCTAGGAGTTCAAGACTAGTGTGGACAACATTGAGATCCCAGCTCTACAAAAATTTAAAAATTAGCTAAGCATGACGGCATGCATCTGTAGTCCCAACTACTTAGGAGACTGAGGTGAGAGGATCGGTTGAGCCCAGGAGGCTGAGACTGCAGTGAGCTGTGGTTGAATCACTGCACTTCAGCCAGGGCAACAAAATGAGACCCTATCTCAAAAAAAAAACAAACAAACAAAAACTAACCAAAACAACCACAGGAACTTTTAACATGGGAAAATACGTTGCTGAAGTAAAGGCTGTCTATATTTAGTCAGTGGATTTTTAAAAATGTATTTCCATAAAAAATTGTACTTAGAAAAAAATACCACAAACTCCACTTTTTTTTTCAGATCACTGAATTGTCTCATCTGTCCGAACATAAAGAGACTACCACAATTTTGTTTACTAAGTGAAACAGTGAAATGCTGTCCTATCATATATTTGGGTGACACAGGAATTCACAGGTGGTAATTTTACCCACAAGAGGGAGCTTGTATTTTTATATTTTTATTATAGAATATGAAAAACTTGAATTAAAACATGAAGTTCTAAAAATATCTGTTGATACCATTATCTTTATGTCTGATCACGTTTTGAGGTAACCAGATTGCAGTTCTTCAATGATAACATATCACTATGGCAAAAGATTGGAAATATAACTGAAATTAAAAAAAAAAATTTCCTACCTATATTATAATTAGTTTTTTCAGATACAATAATAAGACGTAGCTGGCAAGGCAGCCTGAGAGAAAATTCTTTTTAGGTGGTAGTAACATTAGGTGTGTGAAATTGACTAGAATTATTATAAGTACTCTGTACCCAAATTTAATTACATAGCAGTGAAATGATAGTTCAGTCATTCTTTTTATCAGGAAAGAGATTGTATAAACCAATAATTTTCTATGTATTTATAGTACAGGAAACAACCTACTTTAAAAATTACTAAGATCGCCAAATATTGCTAATATCACTTAAAACTTGCTTGAGAAACATTGTAACTGGCATGATACCACAATGAACTTTCCTTTCTTAGAGTTTAGAGAAAAAAATTCCTTAAAATAAAAAAAGCAAAAAAAACTAAGCTCAATTCCTTCATATCCTGTAAGCTCCCTAAACAGTATCTGAAGTTGCTAAGGCTCCCTAAATAAATAAATATGCTCTGAGTTTTGTAAAAACAAAATGAATTCATCAACTTAAAAACTCCCATCTAATAAGATGATTTTGGCAACTCTTATCAACCCCGAGTGATCTGTTCCATCACATTCAGAGACACAGCAATAACTGAGCTGACCCTCAGTTTGTTTTCTGACTCTCTGTAAACTGCTTGGGAGATAGATAATAAGAGTCCTGTCACTTTCTCCTAGGGTCCTTGTCTCAACTTCTAGAAGATATAACACAGGCAGGGAGTTGAGGATGAAAGGGTTAATCACTGCTGCTCTTCCTTCTGGAATTTCCAACCTACCCATTAAATCATTGTTTTTTTTCTCCCACTAGGGACTGTGAATCTAATGGACCTAAAATCAATACCTTACAAATGACATAAAAAATATATTCATTTTATGGACTAATGTACCCTAGTGTCTGAATCCTATTTACACCCTCTACTTTAAAAAGGAACGACAGACCCATTTCTGCCAGTAAAAGGTTACTCAGTCACTCTGGTGACATGCTGCAGAATGCACTGTCATACTAAAGTGAAGCACAAGGGAAAGACTGGTGGCTGCAAAAGCACTATTGTGGAAACTTGCAACATGGTGCCGTGAAATTGTGTTAAGAAACACGGTCAGGGAGGAGCACGCAGGTAGCTTCAAAGACGTTAGCCATGTTCTGAGGTGGTTTTACAGGTTCTGCTTCATCATTTGTTTCATAACTTATGTATTTTACACAAAATTTTGAGTGGATCAAATATTACATAATACCATTTTAAAAACAAACACAACTTTCATTTAATAGTAAATTCTATCATGATGGAAAAAACTGGATAAAAATTCCTAAGAGCCAGAAATGCTCACTAACACACCAAAGCGCTGTTCGCCAAGCAGACATAGTGTGCCATCAAGCCACATTAAAGGAGGCCGAGGCAAGCCCCAGGGAGACAAAGGGTATTTCTTTTACCAGATACCACACGGAAACCATCCAAAAAGGTGACTACTGCTTGATTTTACATATTGAGAAAGTATGCTGATGAGAGGGTTTTTTATTTACAGAATATTCTCCAACCCAAAGGACCCACTTACTTCTTCAAAAGCCATTCTTACCACTGAGAAAGTATTAAGCTTAGTTTTGTTTTTAAAGCACAATACATTAGTAACTTTTTTTAAATTTTGAGAATATATTCTTCTACCTTTAGTATTTTTATGATACTAAATATAGGGTAACCCTGTAAAAATGCAAAGATAACTTCATTTTCATTGCAAAGATTAAAGTATGAGGGGAAAGAGAGAGAGAGAGAAAGGAAAGAGAAAAAACCCTAAAAACCAAAGAAAGACCTTTTCGCCTAGAAAAATATCACCTGACTTATTTTGTGTTTCAATGGGTACAAACAGAAATAAAGAATAATGAACAAGAAAAAAAAAAACTTTAAAACAGATAGTTTTTGAGAGATTTCTAGCAACAGGTCAGCGTGAGATTTCCTGTTCAGTTTTACTGGCTTAAAATCTATACAGTTACAAAATTACCCAAAGGAAAAAAAAACTGTTGTTCTTTATTCCATTTGCCAACCAGAGTCATTTATCCCCTATTAGATAAAGTATAATAGACTCTACGGAAAGGGTCATTGGCCTTCCATTTAATGATATTGCCAGCCCCAATCTGCATATTCCCGGCAATGTCCCTCAACACAGAAGAAATGGCTGATCTCTTCACAATAACAGCTGATTTCTATTTATTAAGCTAAAAAGGTCACCATTTTCTACGGCTGGGCCGCCCTGCACTATTGATAATTTTATGCATAAACAAATGGCAAATTTGTGCCACATAAATATGCATTAGCAATTACTTTTTCCTTGGGCAACGCTCACCGCATGCAAATGTGTACCTCGCAGGGCCTGGTAGCTTTTGTTTTAGCTCTTGAACAGTGAAACAAAAGAGCACAATAAACAATTTTAAAATTGCCAATCAATAAGCAATGCAAATGCAAAGGTAAATGGCAAGAAACTTGCTCAGAAACAACAAAACAAAAGTGAAGCAGGTGGGGGATGGGGAAGGGTTTCCTTTTTTATATTTCATTTCTTTCTCTTTGATAATGAAAAGGCTAAAGTACTCTTGACACAGAACAGCTAGCTAGGCTGGTACTAAAGCAGATGCCAGATGGAAAAAGGAGAAAATATACACATGTTGAATAAACACACACATCCCAAAAAGAGGGTAAGCAGAAAACTGTGTTCCTCTTTGGGATTTCCAGGGCATCGCCTACGCAAATTTGATTGTCAAGTTTAGAGATTTGTAAGAATACTCAATTTCAGAGATTCCAAGAATTTTAAAACTAGGAGCTACAGAGATTCATAACCAAATCTCAGTTCCACACTACTTTGTTAGGCTCCTGTTTCCTAAGGTGCCTCCCTCAGATAAAAGGAATATATGATCAATAAATGGGATATCTTTAGGAACACAAAGAAAAGGGGTAAATTAGGAATACGTAAGCGAGAAAAAGCAATCTACAAAATGTTTAAAATAAAAACCCTAACCTCAAAACAGTGCGAGAATAATGCCAGGCGCAAGAGGCAAGAGGCATTAAAACTAGAAAAAAAAGTGTTACCCAATTTGCACAGGCAAACAAAAGATAACCCAAAAAAAGTTTATCAAAAATTAGCCTTAAAATGTTTTTTAGTGTTATTTACCAAGCAGTATTCTAAGTGCTTTACACTTAGATACATTAAGCTTCATCTTCACAAAAACCTCAAAGGATGGTACTATTAGCGACGCTCCCATTTTATAGCGCTGAGGCGCAGGGAGGTTAAGTTAATTAGGCCAGTGCTAGATCTGGGTCTTGACCCCATCTGAAGGCAGCACCTGCAAGCATCACTCCTGCTAATACTTGCCATCCATTCTTTAAAACCATCTATGTTGAAAAATTTCTTCTGACGTGTGTAGACAGCTTTACCTTTGCATAAATAAATCACGCTGTGTTTTAAACATCTACATTCAGTGCTTACGTGAGTTTCTTTGACCAAGTGATTAAAATACTTTAGCTTCTGTAAAACACACAAATATTAACTTGTATATGAGTACAAACATACCTTAGTACATTAGTGCACGTGCACTAGGAACATATCACAGTCTTAATCAATGGAGAACAGAAAAACACTTTGTGATTCCATCTTGATCTTAATGTAATTAAAGGTTTTGCTATTCCACAAAGGATTAATCAGATTTACCCACAATGTTGTAAAAATAAATATATAAAGTATTCTTGGCTAAATGAAAATAGGCAAACCTGGAAATCTAAAACTAGCAAGTGGTTCTGTCTTGCTCAGAACCAAGAAAGCCTTCACCGGTATCTCTTAGAATCCCAATATTGATCCTAAACTTCTTCTTTAGAAAAGGTCACAAAACTGTTCCCAGCAATATTTTCTCCCTGGTTCTGTCAGTGTTGGAGGCCACGACTGTTGCTTGCACTTAGAGAGCCTTTCTCTGAGTGAGAAAAAGATGGCCCCTTGGTGGAGACCATTCCGGAAATATGCCACCTGCACAACCATACCTGGAGGCCCTTGAAAAGCCTTTAGAGTTTCCTTACTTGGAAAAGTGCTATTGCTAATATTAAATTCCATCTTTTTAAGAACCAAGTACCCACTCTTTAATACAAAATCAGTATAAAGATGCATTCCAACATGACAGCGATATCTTACATGTTAATTCAAATAACTAGGTGGCTGGGACACTCCTGTTTTGTTTCAATTTTCAATCTTTTTTAATTTTATATTTTAATTTTTTTAAAATACATTTTATTGCATTTTAGGTTTTGGGGTACATGTGAAGAACATGTAAGTTTGTTGCATAGGTACATACATGTCAGTGAGGTTTACTGCCTTCCTCCCCATCACCTATATCTGGCATTTCTCCCCAGGTTATCCCTCCCCAACTCCCCTCCCCAAGCTGTGCCTCCTCCTCTAGCTCCCCCCCCCCAACAGACCCCAGTGTGTGATGCTCCCCTCCCTGTGTCCATGTGTTCTCATTGTTCAACACCCACTTATTCAATTTTCAATCTTTATGGCTGTGTGTATAAAAACTTGAGTATGACTTTTCCTATTATCAACTAAATGTGCAACCAATATGTGCTGAAAGCCATTAATTTGTAACACGAAAAGTTTTAATTACAATCATTCCTTGCCCAAATGCTCACTCTCTATGCCAGGTAAGTAATCCAAACTACAACCATGAATATTCCAACTAAAGTAGAGTTTGTCTGAAATATCTAAGTACTCATAGACTCTACTATGTATAATTCATGTAAATGGAAGTAAACTAGAAGTATGTAAAAAGCATGGTTGTGTTAAGCGGACACTGCAATGTCCAAAGGCTCACCGTGGGCTTCACAGTCAGAGGCCGTCAAACAGTCACATTGTTTTGTCTCCAATCCCACAAAATTAGATTTAAATAGAGGGTACCTTGGGGGGATTCAGAAAGTCTTAGAGAGCAACTGGAAATTCTAGTGAGAATTTTGTGTGAACAGCAGGAGGGGAGCCACTGCCTCATTTGCCCTGGGTGGGGGGTGTCTTGCAACCACTCTGCTTTAGACATGTCCTTTCTTTGCCCATCCCCTGCTCTGCTAATCTCTGATGTACGCTGATCCCTGGAGGTCAAGTTCCTCAGGCTTCTCTAGCAGTCACCTTCCAGGTGAGTTCTGCTGCTGAGAGAGGAGCCGATGGAGGTTTAATGAGAATGTGGGAGGCACGGGGGTGTGTGTGTGTGTGTGTGTGTGTGTGTGTGTGTGTGTGTGTGTGTGTGTGTGTGTGTGTGTGTGTGTGTGTGTGTCTTTTAACATTTACTGTAGACAATTACAAGCATATTGAAAAAATAGAGATACTAGTAAAACCAGCCCTCATCAGCCACATCTAAATTTCAACATCTATGAAACTTGTGCTATTTGAGTTTCTCTCTCGTCTTTCCCAGCTTTGCCAGGTGTCTTAGGCAGCAGCCTCTACTCGGTCCACCTCATGCCAGGCAGGCTCACATGATTCCAGCTGCAGTCCAGTGGCCTTGGTAACCCCACCTCCTCCCTCTGGCTCCCCAGTATAAACTTGGTAGTAATTTTTTGCTGTTCCTAAAGCCTAGTTTCCTCTTTTACAATTTTTATTTTCAATGTGCAACAATTTTCCAATATTATATACCACCTTTTGAAAAAAATCAGCTTGGGTACAGTGGCTCAGGCCAGGCGTGATGGCTCACACCTGTAATCCCAGTACTTTAGGAGGCCAAGATGCATGGATCACCTGACGTCAGGAGTTCAAGACCAGCCTGACCAACATGGTGAAATCCCGTCTCTGCTAAAAATACAAAAATTAGCTGGGTGTGGTGGCAGGCACCTATAATCCCACGTACTCGGGAGGCTGAGGCAGGAGAATCACTTGAACCCAGGGGGCAGAGGTTGCAGTGAGCTGAGATCAAGCCATTGCACTCCAGCCTGGGCAACAGAGTCAGATTCCAACTCAAAAAAAAAGGTGGAGTCGGGGGGGAATAATCAGAGTGGCTTCTGTCTTCCTTCTTGGACCCTGGCTATTATCTGCTGGCAGAACTACCATTTATCCCTTATTCTGAGCTCTCTTGAAGTATTAATAGGTCAAGATTTCATAAAGTATGGAACCCTTTCAATAGCTTGAAGCCCAGTATGCTGGTCCAATATTTCCAACGCCTTAAGTATGGTTCTCCATATATAATATTCATAATGTTTTCATGTACAATCTATTGTACATGACAATAAACAACCTATTCTTATTCTATACCTTTTGTTGATTGCTTATTGATATCCTTTTTAAGCTTGATTTGTCTTAATCTATGAGCCAGTGAAAGAACAGCACTGTACCAGTTCTGGAAGTTCTACATTAGTGCAAATCTGCCTAGTTTATTTTAAGGAGGTAGCTCAATCTGGCATAAAAATACATTTTTCCAGTGGTAGGTGGCAGAGACTAGTTAACCAAGTTTATGTCTTAGACAAGACATGTTTAACATGTAGTCATTTATTTATAATAAAACATGACCTTCCGGTATTAGGAATAAACATAAACACATCATAAAAATGACTGATGTTCAATGGCTCTTACAAAATTACATTTTGAAAAATTATGGGATGATGAATCAAACATATAGATTACATTTCCCTGAAACAGACATGTGCTTAATAATTAATGGGAAAAAACAAAAATAATATTTATAATTTTGTCTTATCCAAAACACTTGAATAATTATGTAGTAATTGTACAGCTAGATGAAGACATACTTATCAAATTTGAAATAGAATCTGTGAGGAAATTTTAAAACATGAAAACACCTAAAATAGAAATGATGGATCTAATCTACAAGCTGAAACTTTAACCTGCTTTATAGAAAATCTTACTATAAAAATATCAAATATAAAATAAAACATTTGCTTAAAGGAGAATTCACAAGGTTTTGTAATTTTTGACAATCATAATGCAAGCAAAAAATGAGATGTGGCAGTTAAAAAGGAGAAAACGGAAATACAATTAATAATTGTAGTGTCCAGTCAAATATAGGTAACACTAACACCAATGGTAAGGCAAAGTTTCAAACACAAGTTCCAGAACTGGTTTCAATCCTGTATGTAGGGAACTGGACAGGTATTCAACAGTCAGAAAAGATCAACCCGGAGCATAGTGTATATGACAATTGTGCTAAATCGGGTACTATTAGGAGGAGGAGATACATTCAGTTTGAAAAAGATCAAATTGCGTTGCAATTATGTGGGAGGGCCAGTCATTAAGTACAATCAGATACCTGAAGGGTTGTCATTTGGAAGAGTGAGACTAGATACATTGTCTCATACTCCAGATACAAGAACAAAAGTTTTACAAATATGTAATTTTTATTTGTTTAGAGACAAGATCCCACTCTGTCATCCAGGCTCCAGCACGGTGATGCCATCATAGCTCACTGCAACCTCACACCCCTGGGCTCGAGTGATCTTCCTGCCTCAGCTTCCCAAAGTGCTGGGATTACAGGTGTGAGTCACCGCACCTGGCCCTGTTTTTGTTTTTAATGGCAATATGGGGACACAGATCTCAGTGCATTATGAAAAATAACTTTCTAAAATAAGTTATCCAGCCATGGAATAAACTTAAGGAAGCCAAATGATTTAGGGTGTAAGGAAGGGCTGTGGATACAGAAAGAATGGGTCACTCTCTGGCTTTATTACTTAGCCAAGTGATCTTGGATACAATTAACCCATCTATGCCTCAGTTTTCTCACAGACAAATTTATTCCAACATATACCATACCAAGGAAAGGTAAAAGATCAGAGACTGACTTCATAACCATCTGTCAGAGTTCTGGAAATAGGATTTTTGAACTAAACTAGATATTGGGTCATCTAGCTTTAAGACCCATTTTAAACTGAGACTAAATTATTCCAGCCCTCGAAGTTCAGGTGTTTATATTCATTTCAGGCAAGAGAAGTTGGCTCTAAACATTTGAAAGCGGGAAAAGTTTGTTGCAATTCTGCATTTTTAATAAAAGTTATAGCATCAGATAGAGAAAAGACGTTCATATTTGACCCAAAATAAAGCTAAATAAAATGTACAAGGCATTTTTCGCTAATAAAAGACATATGGAGGGCGTGGTCCGACTGCGCAGCCGGACGCCAGCACCACGGAGGAGTAGGCTCTGGAGCCTTGCCCATGGTGAACTGTGGATGATTGAGGAGGAGCCTTCTCTATGGGTGTCATCGGTGGTGCAGTCTTCCAGGCCATCAAGGGTTTCCGCAATGCTCCTGTTGGAATTCGGCACCGTTGAGAGGTAGTGCCAGTGCTGTGAGGATCCGAGCCCCCTAGATTGGAGGCAGCTTTGCAGTGTGGGGGGGCCTGTTCTCCACCATTGACTGTGGCCTGGTGCGGCTTCAGGGTAAGAAGGATCCCTGGAACTCTATCACCAGTGGAGTATTGACCGGGGCTGTGCTGGCTGCCCACAGTGGTCCATTGGCCATGATGGGCTCAGCGATGATGGAGGGCATCCTGTTGGCCCTCATTGAGGGTGTTGGCATCCTCCTCACTCACTACACGGTCCAGCAGTTCCGAAATGCACCCCCGTTCCTGGAGGACCCCAGCCAGCTGCCCCCTAAGGACAGTACCCCAGCCCCAGGCTATCCCAGCTATCAGAAGTACCACTGAGGAAGCCCCTGCCACCGTGGGAGCTGCTTCTTGGTTCCCTCCCCGATGATCTATCTCGAAGGGAGGGCTGGCTCCCACTTAGCCCTGGGACCCTCCAGAGAGGACTTCTACTCTTCTCCCTAGTCCCAGGGTGGGGGTGGGGCACCCCAGCTGCCCTGACAGATGGGTCCCCTTTTTCTCTCTCAGGACACCCCAGCCCCACACTCACATGTACCAAGTTCTCACCCCAGCTCCTTTGTGTGGCACCCTGATAAGAATTTAAAGCCCGTTTTGAAGAAAAAAAAATAATAAAGCCCGTTTTGAAATGCCAAATAAATAAATAAATAAAAGACATATAACAGCACAACGTAATTCAGATATGATTATTTAAAGCAACAATATTCATTTTTGGTAAATTTATGATATTAACTTTTTCTGCTTTTTAAAATCTCTAGTGACTCAATTTACAGATACTTCTTGGATACGGAGGAAACATGAACAAAGTACTTGTGCTTTCTGAACACTGAGGGCTGCTTCCTTGCCGCTGTCAGCCAAGCCTTTCCACCACTCCTTCAACTGTGCCTTCTGTCACGGCTACTCAGCACATGGCAACCCAGAAGAACACAGAAGCGCGAGCTCAGCGGGGCTAAAGGGCATCTTCAAAAACAGTGATTCTCAAATCCTTTTTTTTTTTTTTTTTTTTTTTTTTGCAATGCCCCAGGGTTCTTCTAGTTATTTCAAGGAATGCTCTAAAATTTTCAAGAAATTCTTAAAATCATTTTACTTTTTCTTGTCCTAACAATTATAGATCTCTTTGGGCTTTTCAAGTCATTTTTACTTAAGCGATCTGATTTGATCTTCAGCAACTCTTTATGGTAGGCATGACAGGGTTGATTCCTCTCTTACAAAGAAACAACTCAGGAAAAATTCTGACTAGACCCCAAATCACAGAACTCCAGTGCAGTAGGAAAAAGGCAAGAACCCAATTCCAGTCCTCTGTGCCGCCCTCCACACTCTATAACAGATCACATCCAGGAGTAAGAACTGGCAAAGAGGTAATTTTGGAATCTCTCAAACTATGGAAGCATTAACTTCTTTCTGGGACCGTGAATGTTTATCAGGATTATGCAACACTCTCTATGTGCCTTCTTATTCATTGATACACTATTGTTTTCACTTTTAAAGTGGGATTAGCACAGTGTTTCACAACTGCAGGTGATTATGTCCCTGAGGGACATTGGGAATGTATGGAAACATTTTTACTGCGATGACTCGGGGGATGCTACTGGCATCTAGTGGGTACAGGCCAGGGATGCTTCTAAACATCCTACAGTGCCCAGGACAGCTCCCCACAGCAAAGAATTATCTGATCCAGAATGGAAACAGTGCTGAGGTTGAGAAACCCTGGATTAGCAGTATTTTTATTTAAGCCATCTGTTTTTGTCTCTTACTTTTGTTACATAAACATAATAATGCTTTCAGAGTGTAACATTTACTGGGTGCTAATGACTGGTTTGGCATAAGACTATCAGCTCTTAGATAGTCACTAATTCCATAAAATGCCCTATGCTTTAATCTTTGCTGTTTGACGATACATTGAACAGTGGTTCAAGTGACAGAGGTCACCATTACTGAGCTAAAAGGATAAAATAATTTGTCATGGTATTTATAATAGTTTGCTTACAAGAATGTTAAAAATAAAATGATGCAAATGGAGAAAGTCAGAATCATACATTTCAATAATATGAATTGGAAATGAAAATTCAATTGTGAATAAAGGAGTAAACTTTGACTTTTCTGTTACGTATAGCACACATCAAAAACCTTGCAACAATGTATTGCAAAAAAAAAAAAAAAAAAAAAAGTGCGGGGGGTGAGCAGGGAGTGTGCAGCCCCTCCCTGCCACCTACATATCCAATATTTAAAAGTGAATTTGGTTCTCTTTTTATATGCTAAGTTTTTCAATAAGCGTAATAATTAATAATCTCTTCTTCTAGAGAAACCTATTCTTTGCCATGGTTCATTCTCTGTCTCATGATGTCTTCTGTGAGGTATCTTTCTTGCTACGTTCTTAGATATGTAACCATCTAAATAATGACTTTGAACTTAGAAACTTAAACTTTTTCTTTCAAATATCGGGAGGCCAAGGCAGGCAGATCACTTGAGCTGAAGAGTTAGAGACCACCCTGGGCAACATGGTGAAACTTCCTCCCTACCAAAAACACAAAAATTGGCCAGGTACGGCAGCTTGCATCTGTGGTCCCAGGTACTGGGGAGTCTAAGGCAAGGAGGATCACTTGAGCCCAGGAGGTGGAAGTTGCAATGAGCCATGATTACGTCACTGCACTCCAGCCTGGGTGACAGTGAGACCCTGTCTCAAATAATTTTTTTAAAAATCTGATGAAAGTTATAAACCTAATCCATAAAAATACAAATCTCCATGTTGACAGACCATTCTTTCTGCATCTCTTGTGTTCCTGTACTTGTTATGAGTAAAAGCACCGAAGGCCTTTAGATACAAAGGCTTTGTTATGTATCTAAAGGCCTTTGGTGTACTTGTACTTGTTATGAGTAAAGGCATCGAAGGCCTTTAGGTACAAAGGCATGGTCCCTGCTTCTGAAAGACTCCTGAAAGACTTCAGTATGGTCTTAAGGACATTCCTATAGTGAAAGCCTTAGAAGAGAGAGATATTATCTTCCTGTAGAGCAAAAGTTTGTTTACCATCCAGTATCATAAGGATGATGTCTCACTTAGGGCCAAAGGTCAGGCATGCTTACTGTGCATTATAAATGCCTGGGGTTCCCTAAGCTCAAGTTTTCTCCCCCTGAAGTATAAACATCACCAGACTCTCTTTCATTCAACATGTGGGAATCAGGGCTCGGTAAACCCACACAAATGCTAATACCTTGTCCACTACTCTCCTTGTGAGTACTAAACTTTCCTTTGTCTGTGATCCAAAGGTCTAGCGTCTTCTGTCAGCATTCAAGAAACCATGCAGGCTAATGTATTAGCTTAAAAACAGGGTAAAAATCTCAGACCCTTCACAGTTCTTAACAATGCACCCAGACAACATAAGCATACTGTTTTTAACAGATGGCCATTTTATCCCCATATCCAAATCCAGAAGACTAGACGTATTTGTTGATATTTTAGTAAACAGAGCAGAATGACCATAGACTAATATCTGAAAAGTACCTTAAAAATCATATAATGCAATGTTAGGTTTATTCCAACAAAAATATATTTGGCTAATGACAGTAACAGAAGCATTAATTAAGTGCTTTCTCTATGCCAGACACTTTATCAGGGGCTTAGCAAATATTATTGAAATTTATTCCGACAATAGCACTGATGAGGCAGCCATTATTCTCCTCATTCCACAAGGGAAAACAAGACCTACGTAAATCAAGTAACCCGGCAAAGGCTACAGGACTAGTCAGCATTCGAGCCAGGATCTAGGTTCAGAGGTGGAATGTGAACTCATCTTGTGTTCCCCTAAACTTTCCTTTCCTGCTTCCCTAGGCCCTTCTCCCAGCCACACTGGTGGTACAAAGGCATGGTCCCTGCTCCTGACAGACTCATGCTGTAAAGAGGAAGAGATATAAAAATAGTTTCAAAAGAAAGTCATAAGGGCTTTGGTGGAGTATGCACAGGAAGTTCCTAGAGCAAGGGAAGAGCCCAGCCTTCTCCAGGAGTCAGCAACGGCTTCCCAGACAAAAGGATAACTAAGGCAAGTCTTAAAGGATGATTAGAAGTAGGTCAGGTAAAGAAACAGGGGTCCTGATTTTCCACGTGAGGAAACAGAAGCCCAGATGCAGGGCTGAGTTCACATAGCTACTTTTAAAAACAGGGTTGCAGTTTGATGGCTGATGAATTTTTACTCTTTCTTACTGCTTTCAAAGATTATTCCTCTCTTTGTATCAGGCAACAGGCAGTGTTCAGTATTATCTACTGTTTATGCCGCCATTATTTTCCTTTTATTATTTAAAAAATATAACATCATTATGCATTGGGAAGTCAAAGAAATAATATGTGACTACAGTGTCATAAGAGTATCTCTTTGCTAAGAAGGGCACCCAGCACATCACAAAGTATCCAGTGTTAATAAATCACTTGGAAATTTAAATGTTATTTTCTGTTAGATTATACTGAGGGACTTATCATGATTATAGACAAAGTTCCAACAAGGTCAACATCAATGTTCCAAAGGCATGAGCAGGTAAGCTAAAGAGAGATCAAATAAATTGTTTAAATGGTATAGCATAGGTAGTTCTCACGGATGTCTCTGCAACCAGTCTAACTTCCATTAACATAGTTAGAAACTCTCTGATATGAAGAAAATTACTATAACTTCAGATATTACTCTAAGGAGCTATTGCTGTAGAATAGAAATGAAGAGATGTAGATAAATCCACTAATGTTCATCTTATTCACATAAAATGTGCATGTAGAAACAGAAAACAGAAGCAAGAAATTCAAAGAAATCATACTCAATAAAAAGATTTGAGTCTAGCTGCAACACTTTCTAAGTTACTAATATAGTATGTTCATATATAGGTTCTAATAGAGTATGGCTCAGTATGGTTTGATAGTTAATGCCTGGAATTAGGAAGTGAGGTGACAAGCATATTGACTAAATGAGCAAAAAATTACCATATTAACCTGGTTAACCAGGCTCTGTTTTTGTAGAACAGTCTCACCACCTTCATCACTACCATCACAACTTGTATTGAGTTCTGGCCATACAAAATGCATTACTGTGGTTGCCAGAATGAATGTACCACGGTCTCTGCTCTGTAGCTGCGCTTATGGATGGGTGGACATGGAAGTAACAATAACATGTAGTTAAATAAAATAACTACTGTAATTCACCAAATAAATTCTTATAGAGCACTTGCTCTGAGCAAGGCACTATGACAAGCTTGACAGAGGAATCCAAGAGAGAGATGGAAGGGAGGACTGGAACTAAGGAGAAGGAAAAATGCTAACAGTGACTTGCATTTCAAACATAGTTGTTTATAGTTCTTATCTGAACCGGAAATGATCAATAGTGGCAGGTGCCAAGATCAATGGCAGCCCAGGGTCAGAATCACTGACATCAATATGATCAGTATTACTCAGTCTCATCAAATTGAGGGATTCTTTTGTGGTGAAGAAAACTGGACAGTATTTAATAGAATCACACCAAAAAGAGTAATACTTCAGGATTAATTATTTGAACCTCTATTTAAAGTTGCACAGTTTTTTTTTTTTAAAATTCTTTTTTATTTTTAAAAAATCTAAAATGTCATTTATTCATCATAGTTGTAAACCAATATAAGGATTAT